AATAACCAGGCACTAAACAGAGCACTGCAAGTCAACAAGTGCTGCACCCAAGCTACCGAAAGATGGCAAGTAGTTCAGTTATGCTGTTTGCAATTGCAGTTCCAGCTATGGAAGTTCCAGCTTGAAACGCTGCTAAGCAAAGAAGACTTGTGGGAAGTACAGAGTTCAGACAGACCACTAATGGACTCCCGTAGGAATGGGACAAGAAGAAAAGCCAAGCAAAAGCAATTATAAGTCTGCTAGTGGAAGATGACCAGCTCATCCACATAAGAACATGTGAATGCCATGCTGGAAACCGTAGAACAGCTACGTGCAATTAGAGAGGAAATAAAGACAACCACGTTGTGGCATTACTGCTATGCAGTCTTCCAGAGTCATACAATGCTCTTATGAACGCTATAGAAACCAGACCTGAGCAGGAACTAACACTAGAATACACCAAAGGAAAATAAATCGACAAAAGGAAAGAAAATATGCACAATCAAGAAAACAAGAAAGCCCTCAAGGTGCTGGCTCTCAAAATACTTGAACAATGCCTGCATCCAGTCAGATTGTTTAGGTAATTTGAGAGCCAAACGGGTTGACTAACAAGATACTGAAGCTTGACACAGATTCCTCCATCCACACAGTTCAGCATAGATGAAGGAATCTGTTGCACTTTTTCCATCTGACCAAAGAAAATCTGCAGAAAATCTATAGGTGTATGGCCAGCTTTAGACAGCACTCACTTCTCTCCCTTCATGCCATGGAGGGAGAGAGGTGAGTGCTGTCCTCTCTAATGCAGGGCTCTGGGTGCTGCATTAGATGTAATGAAGTCAGGGGTCACCGACTGCTGAAGCAGAGGGGAAAAGAGGCCTCTTGCACCAGTCTTGGAGCCTGCAGGAGCAGGAATTAGGTACTTTACGCAGATCCCCTAGACAAAGAGGACTAGGGATGCACCGATACCGATACTAGTATCGGTATCGGTGCCGATACCAAGTATTTGGGCGAGTACTCATACTCGCCCAAATGCTCCGATGCCTAGCCCGATACGTCCTGTATCAGAAAGCCGGGCAGTGCGTCATTACATGCTGCTTGGCTCCCTGATTGGCCGGGAAGCCGGCTCCATGCTTCTTCGTCACTTGTGACGAGAGAGCATGGAGCCGACGTCTCGGCCAATCAGGAAGCAGGGCAGCTTGAAATCAGGAAGCCGGCGCCGTGTAATGACGCAGCGCTCAGGTTTCTGGTTGGCCAGGAAGCCGGCTTCATGCTCCCTTGTCATCACATGAAGAGGGAGCATAGAGCCGGTTCCCCAGGCAATGAGGAAGCAGGGCACCGCGTCATTACACGGCGCCCGGCTGTGATGATTGTCCAGCAAGCTGGCTCCATGCTTTCTTGTCACATAGTGACGAGAAGCATGGAACGGCTTCCTTGTTAATCGGGAAGCCGTGTGGCGAGTCTTTACACGCTGCCCGGCTTCCTGAACGGGACTTCCGGCACTCGGTATTTGGTATTGGCGAGTACCAAAAAAAAAAAATATCGGTACTCGGTACCAAAATACCGGTATCGGTGCATCCCTAAAGAGGACAATGAGCAGTTAACCCTTGTAGTGCAGGAGGAGCCCCACTGCAAGGATCGTTTTTTTTAACTGGAGATAGGCTTAAAAAAAGATACTAAAAAAATCAATCAATTCCCCCATCCGTACCAAACAATTTGCTGGCTACTGTATTCAGCAGCCTCGGTACCTACTTTTGCCTGAATACAGTGGTGCTGCCCAACAGTGACTGCATCTGACTGGATGCAGTCAGTTTGGCCGATAATTTTCCACCTAGCACAGGTAATTTTTAAATCAAGTAGAGATGGGTGGTTCATGCCCCGCAGGATATTGTATTTTTGATTTGCTGCATTTACTATTTAGCCGAGAATTGGGGTCCAGAGGGGGCCTACAATGATCAAAGTTTGGTCGGCAGGACTCGGCTGAAATTCAAGCAGTATATGGCCAACTTAAATGTGAAGTTTTAAGAGAATGTCAGTGTGATATGTAATAGTACAGGTAAGGGAGGGACAGTGTAAGGAGGCCCTTGGGCTATGGCATCTTCTCTATGCCAGGTCGCTGTGCCAGGACAACCAGTGCCAAGATCACAGTGCTGAAAGCTAATTATTGAATTGTAGTGATAGTCCTTGCACTACCACTTTATAGCTGCACCATTCCAAAAACATTTGAGGGGCAGACTTATTCCTGTGGAGTTGTGGACGTGATGCAAAGAGGATGTTGTCCTATATATATAAATTTTTTTTTATATTTATTTAATGGCGATAAAGTGTATTGTTATTATTATTATTATATAGGATTTATATAGCGCCATCAGTTTGCACAGCGCTCTACAATATAAGGAAGACATTACAGTTATAATACATTTTAAGACAAGATGGTTAGGAGGGACTTGCTTGTGAGAGCTTACAATCTAAAAGGGAGAGGCAAGTGATACGAAAAGTGGTAGCAGGGCCGGCCTTAGGGGTGTGCGAGCAGTGCGGCCGCACAGGGCGCTACGGCAACAAGGGCGCCGTGCAGCCGACACAGCTCGTTCTGGGGGCAGCTTCTCTCCCCCTCACCGCTGGGCGTTGGTCATCCGATATGACAGCGTATGGGTGTGGTTACTGGGGGTGTGGCCACTAAAGGGTGTGGCCACTGAGGGGTGTGGTCACTGGGCACAGGGCGCCTAAAGGCCTAAGGCCGGCCCTGAGTGGTAGCTGTGTGGTAATGAGTTGTTTTCTAAAGTATTGGTTCAGTGGTTAGGTAAAGGTAGGATAGGCTTTCCTGAAGAGATGGGTTTTCAGGGATCACCTAAAGGCAGGCAGAGAAGGAGATACACTGTATATGTATCGTATGTCATTATATTCTTATACCAATTGTTACATTGTTATATTAGTTGTAACATTCATTTCAAACAATGCTTGCAGCTCCATTCATTCTGTTTTCAGCCTCTTTTTCTGGTTGCTTTTTTACTGGTCATTAAAAATGGAAAGTCAACAGAATGAAAACAGACTCAGTGTGCTTCATTTGCTGTCCATTAACTGCAGTGTATAAGAGAAACCAGCAGCAGATGGGCATCATGATGTGTTTGCAAAACAGGAAATAAAATTCAAAGGAATGAAAGCATAATCCTGACGATCATGTGGACAAACAGGCAAACAAAAGACCTACATTGTACTGCAGTTTCCGTCCTGCTTTTATAAAGGGGAAAAGGATCGAAATGGAAGTCTTTGTTTTAAAGTAATTTAAAGAATATTAAAGGCATTCATATTCAAATGCATATTACTTACAATGCTCCTTAATTTTTCAATGTTTTACAGGGTTGTTCACAAAGGGGTGAAGAGTTTGGAGAGGGCAGGAGAAGTGAAGGCAGGAGAAGTCTCAGTATACCGCGAGCAGCAGCTCGCGGAATACTGCGACGTCTCAGTATAACGCGAGCTACAGCTCGCGGTATACTGAGCCTAGGGTGACGGGAGGGCGCTAGTTTGGAGATAGCATAGGGAGAACTATGGGGAAAAGCCTTAACCACATAGTTCTCCTTTAAGAAGTCCCCATGACCACTTCTTCAAGAAGCGACAGTTAAGCTTTTTGCCTGGAGTTAAAAGCCTTCTTTCCTGGAGTCTATTTAAGTGCTTGGGCAAAATTTTAAAGAAATAATTTGCTTAATAAAAACAATTTATAAAAAGAAAAAGAAAGAAATACTTTGCTGGTTTTGTTCTGGATTCATTTTTGAAAAAAATAAGTTTAAGAGTTTAATACTAGTGTAAAAAATCTGTATCAGGTTCTTTTTTAAAGATGATCTCGAGGCACCAACTCCAACTTTGCGTGGAGATAGGCTTCAAGCTGACTGCTAAGTGTGAGGACATTCTTATAACCACCTGATCATTCTCAATATTGTAATATGAAATTCCTTTTGGCAGAGCTAGCTGTCACTCACGCAGCTGGGCGGATCCCGTCATCTAAGTCGGGATCCGCTCCAGGTGCGGCGTCTCAGTATACCGCGAGCTGTAGCTCTCGGTATACTGAGCTTAGGGTGACGGGAGGACGCTAGTTTGTGTCCTCCCGTTACCCCAAGGAGAACTATGGGGAAAAACACTGACCCCATAGTTCTCCTTTAAGTTACAATATACACTTGAATAAAATTAATCTTTAGTTGTGTTAGGAAAATGTTTACTTTCGATGTTTAAAAAAAAAAAAAGTGTCCTCGTTGCCTGGATCCAGGAAGACCGAATCCACTCAAGTCTCGGACGCAGCTTGAGCACGAATTACTATATCTTGCAATAGATTTATATTCATTTTATTTCATAAGTGCAAAAACCACTGATTGTAAAACTTTTAAATGCTGACGCCCAATGTTTGGGTGTACGCACAGTTTGTAACTCTACTTTTATATGTGGAAAAAAAAATAAAAAATCTTTTGAAACTAAAAAAAAAAAAAAAGTGAATAAACATGGTAGCACAGGTTAGTTTACAGTAACGCATATACATATTAATTACCAATATTTACTCTTAAGTTCCAGTGTTAGTCCAAGTGTTAATGGTAAATCATCGAGTGGTTACATGTTTTCCCAGTTTTAGAAAGCAACTGCCGCTTGAAATGGAAAGGTAGCTTTAATAACAGTAAATTATAAAGGGCATATGTAGCAATGTATATGTTTATAATTGTTTTTATTTTGTTAAAGTTAAAAAATATGCGGCTTTGAAAGATTGATTTCTGTGGAGAGAACCCTGGAACGAGTGATTTTTTTTTGCGGGGGGGGGGGGGGGGGGGGGGGTTTTGTGTTGTGATGGACTACAATCAAAAGTTTTTTTTACTAATAATTAAGATACTTGAATGCATTTTGTTTTTTTTTTGAGTTTTTGGTGGGGGGGGGGGGGGGGGGGTCAGTATTGGGTCGAAGCATCGCGATCTCTCTGCGCCCTCTAGCGGCGTGTGACAGATGTGCAGAGCTGGAACAATTCAGAGGGAGTGTCTTGTCCTGATGATGATCAGAAAAGAGCATAGAACATGTATAGACATCCTGGAGACTGGAAGCTGCTGGCAAATGAGCATCAAGGAGAATTCCGTGCAATCCACACACCTTCCTCAGATAACTGACCTAGGACGATCTCTACAATCTGAAGCTCAATCTCATCTCTCCTCTTACAAAGGAGCCCGATGTCCCTTATTATCCGATCTGCCTCCGTGTAGATGCCAATGCATACACTAGATATCCCACCTGCCTCTCCTTGTGTGATGCATTTCAGGAGAGCTAAGATCCCTCATTTAACATGGGAAATAAGCAAACCATATTTACTGACGAACAGCTAGATGCTTACCAGGTAAAGTCATCATTGTATTAGCGTGTGCCTACTATTATCTTTTACCAGTCATTACTGGTGATCTATTATTATTTACACAGAATGTTTCGTATGGGAGAGCTCAGAATACATGAGGAGGATTGCAATGGTAAATTTGTTGTTAGTCATCACCAGTGTTTATAAATAGAACATGTTCATGTATAGCAGACCATGCATTTCTTTAGAATTTAATAATTCAGTATATCTTCATCATTCAGGGCCTCATGGATTGTGATCTCCAGTGTTTTTTTAAAATCCAACTTGTTTATGTATAGCAGCATATGCATTTCACTATGAATAATTCAGTATATCTTCATCATTCAGGTCCTTATAGTTTGTGATCACCAGTGTTTATAAGTAGAACATGTTAATGTATGGAAGCAACATGCATTTGATTATAAATTCAACAATTCAGTAGATATGCAAGCTATCAATGAATATGTAATAAGCCCATGTGTACTCTGTGAACTATGGACATAAACTCCATTAAGTTGTTGTTGTGATGTACAAACATAACAGTGACAGGAAATGAGACCCTACTGTTGTATGACTCACACATAGTGCTCATTAGCTTGATCTTGGCATAATAATGTCTGACATCCTCTTTTGAGGAGATGGCTGCATTCTGAAGACAGTGGTTCATGTCAATGGATGGCAATAATTGGCCCAGGGTATCACCCCACACATAGTGGTACAAGGTGCTAAGAAATAGATACACCAGGCTTGGCTATGGCACAAAGATAGATTATGCCCCACATGTCATGTAAGCTAATGGACTGGATTGAAAGGTGTGAGACTAGTATAATGGTCCAATGGTTCAATGTGAAATTTATAGAGGGTTGCAAGACTGTTTAACTGGAAAATTGTGCTCATTGTTCTAGATGGAAGGGTGAAAACCAAGAATAATTTACAGAATGTTCTATTAGTTGTTGAGGCAGTTGGTTGGCTGTTTGTTTTCTCTTAACATGATAACATATATACAGTATCAGGTGCACATTTCATGCCATCCAAGCTTGTATTCAGTATTTATCACTTAGAAGGCACGCATGTAAAAGGCAGAAGCAAGATAACAGTTCATGGTCAATAAATACAGAGCACTGCCTGCAGCAAATCTTTCTTTGCTAGAGCCGGGCTCAGGTCTTAAGGGGCTACATGAATCCTTGCATGTGGAAGGCACTAGAGAGGTGATTATTTAAACTGGAAAATTAGAAAAACAAAGATGTTACACTTAACAAACAGGTCAGGTATGATTATCAGATTTATAAGCAAGCAATCTTAAATGGTTGCATAATCTTTCATGGCTCCGATGTTTATAAAACCAACTCCCATATAAGAGAACATAGAGCTATAGAAAAAAAATAACACTGCAGGCAATAGTTTTATATTGAATAGCAATTATCTGTACTATGTCATAGAGCTTTATAAAAATTATTCTACCTAATATTAAAGTAATGCTAGCATCAGGCAGAACAATGACGTCACCCCCTGCACTACAAAAGCCAGAGGAAAGGTGAGTATAATATCCAGCTGCATGGTTTAAAGTGACAACAAACTCAGGAGGTAAATCCTAAAAATGCATTAAAGTACCCTAACTAGTAACTAAACAGTACCTTATTTGTGTATCACTCGGCTGTAGATCCTCGAATCATCTCTGAATTGGTGCTGACACTGTCCTTCCTCCTGTAGTCCATCACAGGAGCAATCGTGAAGTTGTGGATACTTTACAACACACACAGGGACCATGGGGAACAAAAGTAGCCACCCTCCAGAAGGAAGGACAGTGTCAGCACCAATTCAGAGATGATTGGAGGATCTACAGCCGAGTGATACACAAGCTACATTTTTGTTAATAGTTAAGGTACTTGAATGCATTTTTAAGATTTAACTCCAGAGTTTAGTGTCACTTTAAAGTAGGGCTAGCATCAGGCAGAAGAATAACACCGCCCCCTGAACTACAGAAGCCAGAGAAAAAAGGGAGTATAATATTAAACTGCATAGAGTGCAAGGTCTGATTGAAGTAATTTGGCAGTGTAACACAGGTGTTTATTACCTTCCACAGAGATCACAGTACTACCCCAGATGATGCCTTTATCTGCTTTTTCTCCAGAAGGATGGAGATATATTTGTTCAGAGATCATCCATGGTCAGCATCTGCTTCCTAGACTGAGATACTGGCTCAGAGATGACACAGTCATCTGGTGCCTTTGAGGTTCTTGGTTGTATGACACAGATCTGCTTCATGTTGCTGTTTTTCACCTTGTAACTGGCTACAAAGTTACAATGTTGCAGTCTGATCACTGGTTGAGATGGGACTGAGGAAATGGTTCCTCCGGTCTGCAGCCGACAGATGGCATCATCTAATCCTAGGTACATTTGGGCTCTGAATAATGGAGTCATCCACCCAACTGTGATGTATAGCAGGACTGTGTGTCGCTGACTGAAAAAATAACAATCAATATGGCAGGTAAAACAGTTCACATTTATGTATTTCAATGGTGTATTGGCTGTTGTTCCACTATAATGCTGCAGAACAAATATTTATTGGCTAGGTTGTTTTTTTTTTGGACAGATCCCTTTGGCACCTGAGCACAATATTCAGAATTACTTCAAAATAACACGCTATTTGTCACATTATGATTTTGAATTGAAGATGGGGAAGTAGGCATAAGTATAGAGTTTTGGTAAAAGGTTTTAAGTCCACATTTAGTAATAAAGTAGGCTGGTAACTAGGGCATGCAGAAGGGTCTATAACTTCTTTTGGGAGTACCCCGTGTCCCCAAATGCATTCCAGTGGTAGGGTAAAGTCCTCTTGTAAGAGGCTCATCACATGTAAAAAGTGAGGCAGAGAATGGAAAGGAATTTTCTGTAGTAATTAAGAGTAAAGCCGTCCAGGCCTGGGGCCTTGCCACTTTTGGTGCATATACGGGTCTCCAAGAGGGACTGCATTTGGTCTAACAAAGGTAATATGGAGTAGAGGAAGGTATGCTCGAATGCTTTCCAAGCAAGACTCTAGATGAGTAGGTGAGTTAGGTTGCTGTAGATCAGGGGTGCCCATAAGGTCGATCGCGATCTACCAGTCGATCACAAAGCTATCGCTGGTAGATCGCGCGTCGACTCCCTGTCCCACGCTCCGTGTACCCGAATGTGTCGGACGCTAAAGCATCCGACACATTCGGCTCTCCCCTCCTGCCTGAAGCAGCCAATAATCTTTCCTAACACACGTAGCGTAGGTGGGCGCCGCTACCCGCACAGACACCGAGACACTTGGCCCGCACACTTGGCCCGCCCCTTCGTCTTCGTCAGCGTCCAATAATAACTGCCTCCCGCACGTAGTGGCATCGGCTGCTCCTCCCTCTCTTCAGTGTGTAGCACATTTGACTGACTTCTCCCCGCCCTTAGGGCTGGTTCACACCTCAAACAGTGCGTTCCAGAGTGGTCAGGCTCTGGAACGCACTGTATTGCACTCCGGTAGGTTGCCTGCTCTCAGGGGCGATCACCCGAACATGTGGCACATTAGTGCCTGTGTTTTCCGGTCCAGTGCAATCTGCAAAAATGCTGTACTAATTTTGCAGATTGCACTGAACCGGAACGCAGGCACTAATGTGCCACGTGTTTAGGTGAGGGCGATTGCAATACTGGTGGGGGGCATGGCTATGGTGACATTAATTTCAATGCACTGCCACACCCCCTCCCGCACCTGTACTCAGATAATGCCTGAATCACAGAATGCAATGTTTTAGGGCGGTGTTTATGGTTTGTTCACACGAGTTACAGTACAGTGCGTTCCAGCGCCGTTAGCTGCCGGAACGCACTGTGTCTCATGGTAAACTCACCCTGCATTCTGGGCTGGGAGGGGCCGTGGCGGTGAATTCAAGTCACCAGAACGCGGAAACCACAATGCCTGCATTCCAGTCCAGTGCGATCGGAAACAATAGCGCATGCAGCATTTTTTCCGATCACACTGGACCCGAACGCAGGAATTGTGGTTTTGTGCTGCGTTTTGGTGCAGGCGAACGCACTGCATGCGTGGGGACATGGCTGGCGTGCCATTGACTTCAGAACGCAGGAGGGAGGTAGATCGTTGGTAGATCTCATTGGGCTGCTCATTTGAACAGTAGAACTAGATACAAAAAATTGTGGGCACCCCTGCTGTAGATGGTATAGCCACAAAACAATTTTCTAACTCAGATTGGCTTTAAAGTAGTGCTATTGGGGTTGGGTAAGCAACACGGGCAGGGCAGAGACCTGAAGGAAACCCCCATTTTTTAAACTCCTTTTTTTGCCTCTTTGTCTTGCTCATTCTTAAGCTGGACAAGCACATTAGATTCTCATAGTTAAGCCTGCGAGCGAAATTAAAATAATCTTACACATTTCTTCATCCACGCTAAACAGCACGGACCAATAAATTTCATGCTGTGGCTATTGTATTCTGACAGCCAGCACAAATCAGCTGCAGGCACTGTTGGGCCAAAAATTTCCAGCCAGGTTCTTTCAGTTATTAACTTTTGTTGAACCAGCAGAGCCGCACACTGTAAGAATTTCTAAATTCTGATAGTATATGGCCAGCTTTACATTCTCACTGGAAAATATTCCAAATGTTCCTACCTCTCTTCTGTCCTTCCCTAACACCTTTACGTTGATCTGTTATATTCTCCTATTTTAAAAGAAAACAACAAAAAAACCCCAGCCTAGTTAAATATAATAAAGAACTGCTCTTTTAGATTAAAAAAAATATGTTCTAAGTGATTAATAGGGAGAAGTATTGGGTGAGTAAAATGTACTCTTCCCAATACTTAGAGCCGGCGTGTGACACTGCACCTGTCACATCCCGGCTCTATAGATCAAGAGCTGAGCGATCATAAAACGGCTGATCGCTCGGCTCAAGGCTTCTACCTGCAGAGAGCGGTGACAGTCGGTCATCGCTCCCCACAGGGATTCTTCCCTCCCCTCTCTATCCCTCCAGTGCTGACTGGCACAGCTTC